ATCATTTTGTTTAATGAATTTGTATTTCATTTCTATTTTTTTACTAATTTGATTATCTTTAAAAACAAATAAAAAACAAATCTGTGTTATGGAACCACTTACATAATCACAGAACTAGGCAGAATATTATAATGGAGTTTCACGTCCCCACTCTCAGCCCCAGTCTGGCCCACGAGTGTCATCTGCTTTACACTCTGGCGCATCCTTTATGGTACAAACATCGTGTCTGATCTATATGTTGGGTAGGTGTCTTCAAATAACATGTAGTCTTAAAAGACAGCCACAGTGTGGCCATCCCAGTAAAAACAGAGTGACAATGGATTCATGTCATGAGCATGTAGAGTGGGTCAAATTTCCAATGATGTAATCAGCATTGTTTTAGGGTTGCTTTACTCATGCCCCAATGTCACACGTTGTGACAGGTTGGTTGCCTTCTTTATGCTTCTTTTCATCGATCAGCTTCCTTGCCTTTCTTTTTGTTCCTATTTGCTGTGAGAGCTGAATCATGCATCCTGTAGCAGTTCCCCTGGGTTGTTGTACGTTTTTCTTGCCCATTTCTTGTAAATTGGGGGCTGATTTATTTCCCTTTCTTTACTTTGATTTTTCTTATTTCTCTTTCCCTCCTTTCTCTCTCCTTCCTTCCTTCCTTCCTTCCTTCCTTCCTTCCTTCCTTCCTTCCTTTTCTTCTTTCCTTGTCATGAACTAGTACTTATTATCATTCCATTGGCTGGCTATGATTTGATAACTCTTCCAATATTATATGATGAAAAAATTCTAATCTTCTCACGAAACTCATGCACAAAGATTTTTATTTAACTATGCCTCTCACTAACATGTTCTTTCTCTTTTAAATGTCTCAATTTTAAAGTGTGTTCCTAGAACTAAAAATTATTTTCAAGTAGTGTATTGTTTTGTTCCTGTTGCTGTTGTTCTATCAGGAGATTGGAGGCCACAGTTAAGAAGTGATTAGGTCAGAAGGTAGTGCTACATCGTCCCTGAACCCAACCTCAAATCCAAACCCAGGTGTGTAGGATGGAGCTGTTCCTTCCCTCAGTTTCACCATGTTTCTGTCTAGGTGGTACAATTTGTGTTTCTACTCATTAAGCAGACTAGGAACTTAGACTTGGTCTTTTTTTTTTTTTTTAAGTTTTTGTATTAAAATTTCATGGTCTTTTTTTTATTGAAAGTTCATGGGCTACAGAGTCTTCAGGACAGAAGGGATAGCAAGATGTGTAAAATAATTGCTTTGGCTCCAAACTTTGAGTACCAAATCCTCTATAATATGAGCTTCCCCTAACTGCAAGTAAAGATCTCCACATGCATTGCAAGAACCTTTCTGAACCTTAAAGTTGTGTAATAGTTAAAAACATCTTCTTCTATTTTGAAAAGCTCTAATAACCAGAGAATACAATCGTATCAATATTATGCTACACATACTGTGACTGTGTATTAACTAATGGGAATTTAAAAAGTACATATTTTTAATGTATTTGGTCCAGGGTCTCACTATATAACTTGGACTCACAGTGATCCTCCTGTTTTCAGCCTCCCCAGTGCTGGGATTACAGGTGTGTGCTACCATGTCCAGTCTTGGCAGCGGCTCAGTGCACCCAGAGGCAGGGTCTGCACTGCCTTTGGTGCAGGGATTGAACCGTAGTCCCTGAGCTTGCCTAAGTAGGCACTTAGTTGGCTGATCTATTTTGCTGGCCCCAAAACTAGATAGTTGATCAACTTTTAAAAACATCTTAATCATCTTTATGCACTATTAAGAATTAAAAACTTTTGTTTCTTTATCCAAATCACTCAAAGATATTGTTGCGTAGTAATGCTTGCTGCCAATCAGACATACAAGGCTTCACCGACCTTAGCCCTCAGCGCAGTGCAATGCGAGGACCTCAGAGGGGGTCCTCACTTTGGCACTTGCCTAGGAAAAACTGGGATTCTGGAAGGAGGTGCAGGACTATAAATAGCCCTGAACTGGAGCACTGTTTGGGTCTAATCCAGGACGGGACCTGATCTAACACACCCAATGCGGCATGGGCTTGACGCAGGCACTCCACGCCTACTGGAGTGGTACCAAGATCATAGGAGACCTCACACGGTGAAAGAACAGATTCAGTCTGCTGCTGTGGTCAGAGCTGGGTGGGCTCCTCGCCCTGCTGTGCGCAGCTGGGAGAATTCAGGCATGTGTCTTACCCCTGCAAAGTGCCAGCTTCCTTGTCTATCAATAGTAAGAATAAAAGGATCTCATCTAGTTGTTGTGAAGATTAAATGAGCAAGCAATAGGCTTTATTCTTATATCTTCAGAATAGATGCAAGCTGTAATCACTGTATTAATATATCATGGCCCAAATCAAAATTGTTCTTTCCAAAATATCCTTTGGAATTCAACTTTTTCTTAGTTCCAGTTAATCTCTCGCTCTCTACCTGAAATGGACAGTGCATGTGGCATTACCTCCTTTCTTCTGTCAGTTGAAGTTCCAGACTGGAACATGCAGGGGAGACCTAAATGACAAGGTTAGTGTGCCTTATAGACTCTTAGTGTGCCTTATAGACTCACTACATGCTATAGTTGAACGAACACTGAGCTTAAACCACAAAAGACACACATCCTACCCTGAGTCTTCCCCTAATTATCACAGACTTTGGAGCAGCCATGAAGATCATGCGGGCCTGGGCTTCTCGTAACTACATAGCACTCTGGAACTATAATACGTAGCTCATACTCTTCCTTTGCTCCTACAAGCTGCTGCTGTTTCTCATGATCCATGAATGGAAAGGGTGCTCAGTGGATGGCCTGGGCTACTGATTAGCCACATGGTACTTACACTTCCATCATGTACCTGAGACTGGCCGCTAAAGCAATAGAGACGGTGAGAAGCAGTACTAATCCAGGCTGAGGGGTTGGCCCACATCAAGACACTTTACAAAATTATAACTTTTATAAAAGCCTGCAAAAAACTTACTGTAGCTAGGGTATAAGAGTCAGAAATCTCAAAGACAGCATAAAAAGTATGTGGTAAAGAAACAATGAAAAATATTTGGGTAGTCACAGAGGATGAGTAGGGCACTAATCCTAAAAGGTAAGTTCGTTGAGTTCGTAATCTAATTTTCATTTGAGAAAAACAATCAATAAATCGTTCCAGAAGAACAGAAGTACATCACTGAGGCTCAGGTGACACAGATCCTATCACCTATGTGGACCAAGGAGTGGGACGTGACTATTGCGCAGAAGGTAGATGGTATCTTCACTTTTTAATATTATCAGTAATTCAATTATATTTATGAGTCATTTCCTGAAAATCTTTCATGATAGCTTCAAATTTTCCCAGCAGAGAAAAGCAAAAACGAAAGTTTGATTTATCATGAGGAATTTTTCCCTAAAATATTTTTATGAATCAATGTAAAGGACCTCAGAGCCTACGCCAGAGGCAAAACCGAGGAAGACCTGGCCAGCTGGCTCTCTTTGCAGCCGGGAGCCCACACACTGACGTGAGGCAGGGCACAGTGCTGGGCATCCTAATGCCTTACGCAGGCTAGGCAAGAAGTTTTCAGAGACAAAGATGTGAAAGGCCACATGATACAGAATATATAAAGAATAGAGAAAAGTATTATTTATAGTCAGTTAGCAAATTCTGTACTAAAATTGTCAAATGCTGAACCTGATATCTGCTTACAGGAAAGAAGGAAACATAAAGTAGCACTGCGATTTCAAATCTCAGCTTTCTCTGCTCTTGAGAAGTCTCAGAACATCTGAGTTATAGCTTGTTTTTCTGTAAAACAGAGATAATGCTACTTCATTGAATTGTGTGATGTTTAAGGAAATAAATACACATACATTTCTGAAGAAAACACCTAATTATACAGAAATCTCTAAGCAATTATTGTTGTAAATTTGGGATCAGATTAATTTATTTGTGAAAAAAAGGACAGGTAAAACAAGTTTTCTTACAAATATTGACTGAAAATCTCTAATAGAAATCATAGTGTCTATAATAATTTCTACCTAAAAAACTACAAATCACATATGCTATTTTTCAGTTGGCTAATTAGAAACAAACCAGCACAGCATTGGACTTGGAAGTTGTCAAAGCACCACCTGCCTTGTTTTCTTACAGCTGTCTCGAGCAGATTTTGGATCCACCTACTAATACCAGCCTTTGTCTACATTCAAAATGCTTTAGTTTTAAATGATTCCCTTATTGTGAGACAAAAAAAGAAAGAAAGAAATAGTGTGTTTATGTAGAATTTACTTGACTAGTCAATTAACAAAAATTGTGTATTTAGTACATAGGCTTTCAGGACAAACAATGGAACAAAGTATTTATTGTAATATAAAGATATAATTCAGCACTTGGGGAGAAATAGGAGTTTTTGAAAATAATTACATTCAATGTTTAATTGTTTTATTGTTAAATTGATAAACCTATAGAGTGTGGAATTTTCATTTCTATCTCCAGGTACCCATCAAGAGTAAAATAGAAATTTTATCAGAACATTTATGTCTTAAGTTGCATACAAATTTTGTGTATGCATGTGTGTCTATGTACTCTGATTTCAAATGAAAAATGATCTCTGCTTGTACATATCATAAAGGAAATATTTCTCAAACATCTCTCAAAGTTTAAATATTAAATGGTATATTTTAAGTTGACCATGGTCTTCATCCTTGCAAACCTTGTCATTTTTGCTCATTAGGGATCAGCCTTCATGTTACATGGCCATGGCTATTTATAGATGTGTGGGTGACAACTGTTAACCAGTGGGGCCTTACGGACAGCAAAAATACAGTTTCCAGAGGCAAAATTTCAAAGAAACTTCTTCTCACCACCCCCACCCCAACACTCGAAACCGGCAGCCTCTTAGCTCCCAAATCCACCTCCCAGACTGCATGAGACAATGACCTCCGGACCACATTGTAAATGGTGCCCTGCCAGTCCGTGGGCTGTTCATACACCCCCCTCCCGCCATAGGATTCAATTGGAAAATGGCAGCAATACCTTCAGCTGTGATCTCGGTCATGGCGCTCGTAGAGAGGAGGCGTCAGGTGAGAAGGTCCGGGCAAATGGCACTTTGCAGACTATGTGAGGGTTGGAGAACTCTGGTGGAGGGCTCTGAGGTAACACTAAGGGCGCTTCGTTTCACGGGCTGTTTCTGCTGTTTCTTTGCTGCCTGATGAACTTCACCTCTTTCATGCAGAGTTCTCCCCTGGAAACAACCTAAGCCCTTTTCCAAGCAGCACTTGTGGCTCAGTGCAAAGTATCAGCTTCAAACAAAAATAGCCTCATCTCCCTAGGACTCTTCAGCACTTTTTTTTTTTTTTTGGCACGCTAGAGGAACACACACACACACACACACACACACACACACTCACACACACAAGCTTCCCAGCCTCAAAGAGCAATGAGGGGAAAAACGCCAAAGGAACTACAAAGTAGTGTCAGAGACTCAGCAGTTTCTCTAAGATAATTACAGATCTTGGGGTCTGTGTCAGAAAAGCATGAGATAAACAGTTGAAAGTAATCTTACCCGTGATAGCTCAGATTTATTCTTAGAGTCCTTAATGCTCAGAGCATTCCTCTTGCCCTTATTTGGTTTGGGGAGGGTCCTGACATGCCTATCAGAGGTGAAAGGGTGGAGAATTTTCAGCAATTTTCTCAAAGTTCATCTCCTATTGGTCCAAATCCACTTAGCAAGTATAGTTATTTATAAAAGGATACATTTTTAATTGCCACTGGTAAAGCCTAAGCTTTATTCTAAATGAGATGCACGTGGGAGATTACCAGTGCACTCTGGTCAATAAGAAATGTGTGATGTCAACTTCAAATCTCATACTTGGGAACCAGTGAAGTATCAAATTTTTGTTTTCTTCAATCACTGGCTGAAAACAAAATATTTGAGTTTATGCAATAATAGAAAAGGAAGGTGACACAAGGTTTTAAAATCCATAGCTCACATTTTAGTAAAAGAACTTTTTTCCTTGGTGGAATTTTTGTTGTCTTCTTTTTTTCAAATTAATTTTATTGAGAAAGAAATAGCAATGAAACAGCTTCAAAACAGGTTAGTAAGACAGGAACAATAATACATTGGATATTACTGATAAAGGATCTACAAATTGCTATACAGGGTTTCAGGGTAAATCCTGAGGGGATTTGACTGACCTTGGCAGATACAAAAGTTACATTTCTTGCTACATAGGTCTTGCTTTATCTTGGTCTTAACCACCCAGCAGAAAAGTATAAAAATGAGGTATAAAAAGCAAAGCCATATTAATATGCTGAGCTGTAAAAAGCTCAAGTCAACAACTCCTGACACTGCCAGTCCTGCGGATAACCCACTACTACTATAGCCTACTGGACTATATTGGATTATTTTGCGCAATTCAAGCACCTACAATATTTGAATGGCAATGGAACACCCATCTGTGACAGAACTAAACAAAAACGGGGATATAAATGAAGGCTCATTTTGTAGTGAAAGACTGCAAACTTCTTATCGCAACAGAAGGACAAACAGCCCACGTGACCGACGAGCGCGCCTTCCCTGACCTCAACAGGTGTGAAGAGCAGAGAAATACCCGGCAGCTGGTGGGTGGAAGGAGAAGGCGACTCGGAAGGCGCCGATGATCACACTCTGTGCTGCCTGGGAATAATCAAGGTTGACTATTTATCTTTCACGCTCTTCTCGTGCGCAGCCTCCCAAGCACTCGTGATTTCACGTTGCAGCCGTGACGCGTCGCCTCGGGTTGGCAGGCCTCTGAATTCGCGCGATGCCCCCAGCGCAGGAGGCGGCGCCAAGTCTGCCCCTGAGGTCCAGAGAGCCTCAGGACAGCAGCTTGCGCCAGCGATGGCACCCTCTGCGTCAGGGGCTGGGCTTTATTTGCTGCTCCAATTCCTGGAACAACAGGAAGTGACCATAAAATACCAGACATGACTTATATGAATGAATGAATGAATGCTCCTAATTCATAAAGGGGAAAATAATCTCAGGTACTTACTAATGATTGATTTTCTTAGTATAAGTTACTGATACAGAATAGCGGGGTTCATCTTGGGGAATTGGCATTTGCATGTGACACATCTTAGATATTTTCAACCCTTTTAGCATAGCCTCTCTTTCTCTCCCCTTCACCAGCTTGAAGACCACCTCCTATTTTTACATTGCCTCTCTTTATTATATTCATTACCTATTTGTATTTTATTTATTTATTTATTTATTTATTTTTTAAGGAAAGGGTCTACAGAGTGTTCAGGGTCTTGTTACTAGATCGGACTCATAATGATCCGCCTGTTTACAGCCTCCCAAGAGCTGGGATTACAGGCGCTTGCAGGCACTTTAATCCGCTGACCTCTAAATGGCCCTAAATGATTCCATATTTTGTTTGTCTGTTTGTTTTGGCGGAACCAAGGATTCAGCTCAGTACTAGCTATTTCCCCGGCCCCAACCTATTTGTATTTTAGGGTTCTCATAAGAGGAAATGTAGCATTTAACTTTCTGAATCTGGCTTGCTTGCCTTCACCTGATGGTCTGCAGTTCTACCTCTTTCCCTCCAAATGCCATAATTCCATTCCTCTCTGAGGCTGAGCAACTTTCTGTCGCGGGCATCCGCCCCATGTTCTTCTGTCTCGGTCACCTCCAAAGCTCAGCTCCTGAGAACCGTGCCGCTGTAAACACGGGTGTGCTTTGACCTCCCTGCTGCTGTGTAGGGACTGCTGCAGCGTGCGGGGTGGATCACGTGGTCTCTCATCATTTTGAGCGGCATCTCCACGCCAATTTCTGCGTTCCCTCCGACAGTGCAGGAGAGCTCCTCGTCTCCCCCACATCCTCACCTGTATTCATCGTTTTGGGACACCGTGGTGATTGCCCATCGGCTGTGGTGGGCCAGAGGCTCAGCGTGGTTCCCTAATGGCTAAGGACGGTGGATGACTTTCATATGCCTGTCAGCTGTTTGCACTTCTCCTTTTGAGAAGTTTTGACTCAATTCATTTGCTCTTTTGTAAAATTGTTATTTGTTTGTGTTTCTGGGTTATGTTGTGAGTTCTTTATATATTCTAGATATTAATCCTTTATCAGAGGAGCAGATAGAAAAGACTTTCTCCCCCTCATTTCTGCAGGTTGTCTTTTTACTATGCTGTTTTTTTTCCTGTACAGAAATTTTTAAATTTGTTATAATCACATTATTGGTTTCTGATACTATGTCCTGTGCTACTAGATCTAAAGATTCAGTGCAGGTCTTATTAAAATGCCATGAACACTCCCACAGACCTAGAACTAAGCAAGCCCAAATTTCATGTGGAATCAGAAAAGACCAGGAACAAAGTAATTATGAGCAAAAAGAGCACACTGGGATGCATCGCTTCATTTGATTTCCTGTTAAATTACAAAACTGTCTGCGACAAAGATGATATAGTACCGGCATGAAAACAAACATGTAGACCGATGGGCCAGGAAAAAAGACACAGAAACAGACCCATGTCTCTATGGCCACATGATTTTGTTGTTGTTTTACAAAGGCCCAAAAGTATACACTGAAGGAAAGAACCTCACTAGCAAAAGCCACTAGGAGACTGGGCATCCACAGGCAGAAGATGCGACTGCACCCGTCTTACCATCTACTGAAATCAAATCAAAATGTATCAAGGCTGAGCTATACAGCCAGAAAGTTGAAAGTGCTGGAAGACAACGAAGGTAGGACACTTAGAGCCACAGGTCCAGCTGAAGCACTCCTGGGTAAGGTCTGAGTTGATGTTAGGTGCTCCCCAGTCCCGGGCTGCTAGCTGCCACAGGAGGGAGGTTTGTTGCAGGTGCTACCAACTGCAGGTCAAAAGACCAGCGCAATGATGCCCGGCTGTGGGAGGGGCCCGTCCTCCCAGCACTTCCTGTGGCACGGGGCGGTCTGCAGGAGTGTTCTCAGCGTCCAGCTCCCCAACGTGGGTCCCCAAGACCATCTCCCTGCAGTGCTTCCACGGCGCTCCCACCTGTAAGAAAATCTCACCCCAAGTATCTCCACTTACCAGTTACTCCCATTGGATTTCACTGTAGTTAACTGAAGAAATAATATCATGGGGGCTCCTCAGGACTTTCCAGGGGGTGAGACCTCTAAGCCCATATAAGATTAGGTAGCCTCCTCGGGGCACAAGCTGGCTTTCAAATTGGTATTCAGGACAAAGTTCCAGTGTGACTACAGCACAAGAAGACCGTACTGCATTCCTTGTGGCTGGTGGGGTTCGCAGTGGCCCCTTTTGCCCTACACATGCTTCTACAAGGAAGAGGGGAGGGATCTATTCAAGGAAGTGAAGATGTGTTAGGGTAGCAAATTTTTTAAGCCCATTCGGGAGGTGAGTCACTAAAGCTTATTAGACGCAGAATTAGACAAACTTCTAGTGAAACTTGTGTCTTTCTTTTTCTGAGAAGTTGTGAAAATACTTCTAAATTCCTTAAAACCCAGTTTGTGAGGCAAAAAAAGGACTTCTGCAAAGCTCACCCAGACAAAGCACCTGATGTTCTCCCACACGTGTGTACCCATCTTTCAGAGAACTGGAAGAATAAAGTATTAGAAGCCATGCATTTGTCACTCTTTTTAATGGAAATTTATTTTTTATTTTAAATTTTTATTGATGTATTTATTTGATACAGGGTCTCACTATGCAATTCAGACTCCTGGTGATTCTCCTGGCTCAGCCTCCCCAGTGCTGGGATTATAGGCGTGCACCACCACACCCAGTTTTGGTGGCCTGCATAGCGCTGGGCCAGCACAACATGCAGTCCCAGGGATCGATCGAACTCAGATCCTTGTACTTGCCTGCAGATGCTCAGCCCACCGAGCTATCTCCCCAGCCCCTGGACTTTATTTTAAATAGATCTTACCAGGTCACTGGGCTCTCCGACATGGCCCTAGAGTGAAAGGCCTCTCTTCCCAGCAATGACTTCCTGTGCATTCACAAAGCTAGCATTTCTGTGCCATCATCCTGGGTGGACTTTTCAAAGTTCTGCATTTAGGGTCATCTATGAAACCAGGACATTAGCAGCTGACCTCATACACTGGTCTGTGATAAGCTGCAAAAGTCTATTTCCTGCCTTCATCTTTTTTTTTTATTTCCTGGGAAAACACCCACCACTTGAAGGCAGAGAGGTTGATTTTGGCTCGGTCCTTCGAAGGCCTTAGTCCACGGGCAGTCAGCTCCAAGGCACACATGGCGCAGTAGAAGGGCTGCTGCAGGCAGGCAAGCCGCTCACTGCCTAGTATCCAGGAAGCAAAGACAAAAGAGCAGCTGGGGAGAGCTGCACCGCCTCTGGCCACACTGCAGTGATGGTCCCTTCTGAGGAGGCCCCCTGCTGCAGCACACACACCCCTAAACCCGAGTTGATGAGACCATCCATGAGTGTAGCCACCCTGTGAAGAAGCCAGCCTGTAAATCTCCCCAAGCACAGAGGGCACCGGAAGCCAGCACAGACACTCACCTCCACAGGCTCCTGCAAAATATTGTATGTGACAGTGCATAGAGACTG